TTCCAGGTTCAGCAGCTAATCTAAACATAGTACACTACACCTAAACCACAAAATTTTGGTGCACTAATCATGAATTTCAGGCCTTATCCCAAATTTTAAGAAAAGAAAATCAAATTGTCACAAGCTGGCTGTCCACAAGCACTAACCAATAAGATTATGCATGTATAATTAAATTGCGGCATATACAAGCAAGTCCACTATCATGTAAGGTTAGTTTAGATTTTATGACCCTGTGAGTTTTATCATCAAATGGCAATTAGCCAACTATTCTTATCTCTTCTGTGTGAACTCCCACAAGTAAACACATTTTCTTCTTTCAGTGGTGTCTTACACCGTTCGCCATGAATAGCTGAAAACATGCACTGCCACAATCCCTATTGCCTCATCTATTTCCTAGTCGGAGTCTCCCATCACATTTCCCCATCTACCAAACCCAGCAAAAAAATTCTGAAATTCAATGGAATGCTACTTTCTTTGTTTATTCTTTCACTTCCTACTGAGCAACTGGTTTGAATGAGAACCGAGTTATATAAATCATTTATCACTATCACTATCATGCAAGACGGCCCCTCTTACTTTGATCCTGCCCAAGAAAAAAGGTGAGTGAGTATACTATGACGATAACAGTAGTACTAGTATAAGGTTAATAAGCTTGCAAGAAAACTTGCCTGCGTTGTGCTGGCATGGCACGATTCTTGACTTTTGTAGAAACTGCATTCCGAGCCACTTGCTTATCTGCATGTCACCAGAAAGGTGAAAAACATTTTTTTCATTGACTGTTAAAATTCAGGAGATGATGAATACATACAAAAAATCACTTGGCACAAAAAGCAACAGCAAAATATAAGCCGAATCTCCCAAACTATCCATAATCCAGAATATTTAGAGTGGGGTAGAAGTTGCATTTCTTCTTTCCCTTTCTATTTTCTTCTTGACACTATAGAAAATAGATCTAAGAAAGCTGTTACACTTTTCCTAACAGGAAAATTGTTAAATGACTGAAAAATAGTTGACAAACACCATAATTCAAATAGTTTACTTAATTAATCAGCCTTGAAACATTTTTTCTCATAAAACCGCTCATCATAAATACCATAGACATGTCAGTAAAACCTTCAAAAAACAGATAACAATTTTGGAACTACTTTATCAGCAAAAGCCTGATCCTTTAGAAAGACAGTACGTAGCACACCTGGAGAGTTTTGCAATCTGTCAGTAGAAACACTTTTATCTGAATCATTAATCTTCCGAAACTTTTGCCGTTGTTCCAGTTGGATGGTTTCATTTCTACCCTGATAGGTAAAAGAAAAATGTTCATATCAAGCTTATAATGATAAAAGTGGGAAAATATAATTTTGTTAACTAATTGCCAAATGGGTGAAAGTTGGGACTTTCACCCCAGACACCTAAGAATAACAAGTTTATCTAATTGTACTAAAATTTTGAGGTTATCTTAAAGGGTGAAATATAGCCAAAGTTTTCCATATAAATCATCAATTCATCATTCGGGCATAATTGCATTTTGAGCAAAGAAAAACCCATGATACGCGTATGAAAATAAGAGAGGAATCATATACAGTGATAGGGGGCTGCGATTTCCTATTAGGAGGGTGTATAATAGGGGAAATAAAAAAGAAATATAAGATTAGACCCCTGTGTGACTGTAACAGTTGTCAATAGCTAACTATCTACAGTTAGTTAGTTAGTTAGTTAGGAGTAGAGTTAAGGAGTATAAAAAGGGAGGGAATAGCGCCAGAAAGCAGAGTAGGGATTTGTGGGAAGTGGAGTGGTCAGGCCTTTCAAATAATTGATTGTTCTTGATTCTTTCATTTAATTTCAATAAATAAATAAATAAAAAGACATTGATTTTCTTTTTTTCTTCTAGTCCAGTTGCCATTATACTGCATAATTTATAAGGCCTTCAGAATATAACAATGAATCCAATACTAAGAATGAGAACCCTATAATATTCAGCCATTATTAATGACATTCAGAAGTTTCCAATATAACTTTAACTCAGCTGTAAAGTAGGCATGCAAAATCAATTCCTAGCTATCTGAACCAAAAAGATATGATCAAAGAAATCAACCAGAAAAATTATGATATATAGCCTATACTTTAATAGTTCAACTCAATTTGGTTATTGTACCTTTTCAGCTTCTAACATGTTTGCCCGGGCAGAGTGTTCTTGCTCTGAAAGCACAATAAAAAAATAACAGTGAATTCTAGAGCAACATATTTGGAAGACACGTCTAGATATATGATACACTGTTTGATAGCTAATAGCTTATAGCTATGATACAGAAGAATGTGTATGCATTTTGCATGCTACAGAAACTCCAAACCATTCCATAATGAACACAGCCCATGAATCAGTGACATGAACAAAAAATTATCAGTAACGGAGAGGTGATATAGTCCTACCAATTCATCATCAAGTATTCAAGATTAAGGGCGATGACAAGCTTTTTTAAAAAATTGACTACTTTTAAAAGCCAAAGCAACTCATATCTTCCAATTATCACTAAATAATCCACTCTTTTTACCAGAGAAAAAAAGGAATAAATTACAATCATATGTTGTATGATACAACCACACAATGAAGAGAGATAACTTGTTTTAATATAACAAATTACAAAAATAGTTGGTCCAGTGGTCAAGAATTAATTTCAGAATGACAACTATGCAACTAAAATGTCATTTTTCACAACCAATGAGCTTTCAATGATAAATTACAGCCTGAAAATTCAACATAATATAGTTATCATTCAGCATGATTGATTTGTCATTTACAAACATGATTAGAAAGAACCCAACAAAAGTAAGACCTAAGATTCAAAAGATGGATGTAATATGAAAGGGAGAGTCGCACCTTTTACAAGAGAACACTCCATGCTTTTGATTTCGAATGCGTCAAAGAGGCTTGAGCAAAAATTTAACTTAACTTCCATAGAAGTTGAGTCCACAAGTTTTGTAAGAGGAATAGTAATCAAAGGCATCCCTTTTGATTTCTGAGCTACTAATTTTGCATGACTAACATCTGAAATACATAGTTAACAATGAAAAAAAGAGTGTAGTGACCAATGAGTAGGCTTCCTTAAAATGATTACTAGAAATAATAATAATAATAATAATAATAATATGGCATTGTTTATCACATGCATCCAAGAACTTCAAAATTAAAACATATAAAAAATGATAGAATATAAATGTAATCTTAGAAGTATTACAAATGTAACTCTTGAAACATTTATCAATATATAAATTGGAAAGGAAAAATTAAAAATTAGTAACTGATTACTGAAGCAAGACAAAAAAAACTCGCAATAGCAAGACAACAACCCCATTTCAACAAGTTGCTAATTACTACTATGTACTATCACCATTAATCAGTTAATATCTTCTCAAACACCTTTGAGGGCTCTCTGCTCTCATAAACAACAGAATAACAGCATTAGCAGGACAACAAGATGAATCAAGATACCAGGATTAAAATATATCAAAACCATGAAAATGATCTCAAGATGCTAAGCTGCATAACAACGTGAAAATCATGGTCATGATATAAAAACCAACCAGTGTTTCACTACATACATGCAACAACTCTATACTTTCAACCAAGTCAGTCCACTGACTCCATAGTCATCCATTTTGCAATTACCTCCATAACATAACAGTTGACCTCATATGAAGGTTTAAGCCAAAGGACAACAGCAATGCATATGTTCGTAAAGTCTAATGTCATACGCTAATCTCAAAATTGCAGGTATTGGACACTGAGCTAATTGTCACTAAGGCTAATGCCACATACTCTCATTTAAGAACAGCCACTAAGTGTTTAGTTATGCACTCAAAACTATTAAAGGCCCATGAAAAAAATTAATGGGGATGGAAAATATAGGGAGAGTTTCCTGCACTTACATAACATAAATAGGGCCTATTGGCATTATATTTGAACATAAGATCACAAAGTTCTTTGATTGTGGTAGAAATTTTAATTAATTTAACTCAATCTACTCATGTTTCCTATATTAACTTCACAGAAGTTTAACTCATACACACTTATAAAACAGAGCATATATATGTTTTTGTTAAATCGATCACCGGCCACAAAAAAAAAACTTAAATCCCTCAAAATTTCTTTGATATTTGACCCATATCTTCAAAGAAGGACTAAAATCAGAATTAAAGAAGGTGGTGCTCACACACTTCAGCAGATAAATTTCTTTAGAAATAACCCATATATGGTATGATGTTTCTACTTTCTATTTAAAAATATTCAGAGCAAAGAAGCAGAGAGTAGAAGTAGCTAGAGCACCAACTACCATCTGAATTTGAATCTGCCTCTAGAACCAGCTTCAGATCTTGAGACTTGAGGGATGTTATAAAATAATCAGCAAACTCTGACCAAGAGCCCCCTATTCCAACAATATCCCTCTGCGCCAAAGGTTAAAAAAAAAAGGCAACAGCTATTATAAACAAAATTATAAAAAATACTCTTCTTTCAGAAATTTTAAGCAACATATAGCTAGAAAAAAAAACTATTTGACAATCAATATCAATAACATCATAACATTGAGCAAAAACTTCCAGCAAAAAGCATTTGTGTTTTATTCAACCTCTTAATCAAATTAAACCATCAGCGGGGAGAAACGTTTGGCAATCACAACAATTTTTCTTGTTTGAACCAACACTGCCTCACATTTCTTCCATAAAACAGAGAATGATTTAAAGTGAGGGTGACTAAGAATGCTCACAATGTCCTCAAGCATGGAGAGTGAAAGACGAGCTTCCCAGGCGTCATAGATATTAGTGACATGAATCACAAGGTGAGAAGAATCAGGGGCATAAACATGGAGGAAAAAGGGAGAAGAACTTTGAGATGTCCGCTCCACTTTGAGTTTAGTAAAGATAGGATCAAAGTCTTCAAACGCCATTCCAAGTCAGGATTATGCTTCTGCTGTGATAAAGCTACAAACTTTACAAGTCAACTTCAGAAACACAAAATCAATACATGGGAGTTGATACTTGGTATCACATCATATAATGAGATAAATGAAAGTCTAGGGTTTTCTCTGGGAAACTTGATTATAATTTAAAAATGATTAAAAGTATAGAAAAAAGAGTGTTTTAGTTATAAACTTATAGTGTTTGGTTCATTTTGTGTATCCAGAGAACAGAGATAAGCGGGAACTATGATGGTAGGATAAATGAAAGAACCCAAAATTGAGAGAGAAACTGAGAAAAAACAAAATCGAACGTTATGAACCGCGATCGATGGTAACGAGGACTCGCACAAAAACGACGCAATATTCCCTAATCCCTGTGTCGTTTTATTAAAGTTTATTTGATTAAAAAATTGATGTTCAGAGCCATTTAAAAAGTTTGTTAAACATATAATTGAACGGCTTATATAAATAAAAATAATTATTATTATTATTTATATTAAAATTATTTATTTATTTTTAAATATTAACATTGACTTATATATATATAAAATAAAGTTTATAAAAAAGATAAATTTATATCTTGTTGAAAATATTACAAAATATATTTTTAAATGTTATTATCATAAATTGCATATTAAACTTTTAAAAATATATTTACATTATATAAATAAGTTAACTTAATTTTTATAAGCTTGCCATTTTTATTTTCTCTTTGATCTTAATATTAAATATTATGTAGTAGAATTTTAAACAAATTTTTAGGGCATGTTAGAATTTTACATGTACATAGGTCATACTAGACTCTCTTTTTTAACATTTAGTAATAAAAAAAATACTAGTCTTTTAAAAAATTACATATGATAAGTAAACAAATCATACTCTGACTAAATATTTTTAACTACGGTCCCCAAATTTCACAGTTTTAAAGTCCAAATATCAAATAATATAATATTCGTATTTTTGGTAAAATTCTTTTTTTTAATTTATAATATTATATCTATTTTATATATATAATTCAATTACTCAATTCATCATGATTAAAAAATTAATTAATTTAATTTATAATAATAAATTTACTTTATTTATATTTTTTAACTATTCTTATATTACTTCTCACACTTTAATTAGGGATATTTTAGTATAAAATTAATTAATATATAAGACGATATGAATTAGGTCTTATATAAATAAACAAATAATTGTTATAATACAACACATTTCTTTAATTATTGTTGTTTACTTTCAATAATTAATTGTTGTGGTGATTTATTATTGTTGTGAATAAACTCTAGGAATTGAGAAATTTTTTAGGAGTTTTTAAGTGTGTTAAAAGGTTTATTTGGACAAGAGTTCAGTTTAACCCTAAGTGAAAGATATATAAGATTTCTTTTGAAACCCGAGTCTCATAAGTTCATTCCTCTAAGAAACTTAGAGAGATAAATTAAATAGATGAACTCTAAAATTCTCCTTCTCCTTCTCCTTCTCCTTCTCCTTTTTTTTTTCTTCTTCTTCTTCTTTAGTTTTTCAAAAGAAGAACTTGGTGATTTAGAGAATTTGTTGTTGCATGTGTTGTTTCTAGTTGAAAAGGAGTGGTTGATGATGAGTATATTTGAATGGTTATGTTACATGCTTGGACTTTTATAGTTTCATGTAGATTTGAGCAAACTTGTGAATTTGCAAGTACAAAATTTACCATCATGCCAAACATGCCTTCATCGCTTTAGGCATGACTCAAATCAAGGGTCATTTGTCTTATTCATGTCAGGCGCAAAATTGGTGGTGTCAAACATAAAGAGAGAGAAATCATTTATGTGTAAATTGACGTCAGGCGCCAATGAAGTGACACCAGACGTAAATCAAATAGAGACTCTTTACCTGAAATAAGGTCAAGTGTGAAATTTGACTACACCAAGCGTGATTGTCCTAGGTGTCTTTGATCTCAACCACATCGGGTGCAGGATGAATAGTGTCAGGTGTGAGCAAGACAAAGAGTTTTTTGTCTTAATGGCATCAAGCACAAAGGATATGAAGTTGAGTGTGGATTACAAAGTGAAAATTTGTTATTTGATTGATTAAGTGGTGAACAAATAGGTCAAGTAAATCTATTGCATATTATATGTTGTTTAGTGTTAGTTCTATATTCATTGATTTGGAATAACGCATATAGATGAATAATTGTTGAGGCGTTGATGTTGAAAATATTTTAGGTATTTAGACAGGTTGTGTTGATTAACTGTTGAGACATTAATATTGAAAATGTTTTAGGCATGTTATTTTGATTAATTGGTGAATGGTGAGGTGAAGATGTTGAGAGTGCTTAAGACATTTAAGTATCATGATCTGTTGAGTTGATTAATTTAGGATTAGAAGAGAGTATTTTCAAAAGTTGGATATTCTATTGTGAGGATATAAGTGTGGTACTTTACAAGTCAAGTTGTTAAAAAATCTTTCTTGAGTTGTTGACTCTTGAAGTAAATAATTAAATCTCTTATAAAATCTAAGTTGATGCGATACATGGGTCAAGTCAAGATATATCAATTATAAGTGATCACCAAAGTATAAGTCCAGGCATAAATATACTTCCATCCATAAGTTCTCTTATGTTATTTTTAAAAAAAATTAATTTTAATTTATGCATAAATTAATTTTAATTTATTGAAAAATTTATTATTTTTTTCTATTATTAGTGATTTTGGAGAAACTTTTCAAAATAAGAAATGTTAGTGACACTTTAACACTTTTTTATTAATACTCTTTATTATCAAATTGATAGAAAAGTATAAATTTTGACCATATTATTAAATTAGGAGATAGACTTATTAAATAATTAACAAGATTAACAAATTTTGTGAGTTTTAATATATTTCAACTTATAATAAAGGAATTGTTAGAAAGAAAATATATATTAAAGAGTGTGGACTCGCTGACACTCTTTTTAGTTTTTTATCCAAATAGCTGCGTATTAAAACTGATCTCTTGAGAGATCTACCAGTGGACACCATGGAAGATAGAGTTCAACGGAGTTGTTGGGTCAACTCTTTCATCGAGTTCTAATTAACATGTGATTGATTAATTCTTGTATGCATTGACTCTCTGTATAAGTTATTAATTAATTACATGAATAATAGAACCATAAATTGGAGTTCTTTTTCAACACAAATTATATAAAGCTAACTTTAATGAAGTTGTTGTAGTACAAGTTCATGAATTATGACAAACATCCTATATAAAATCGTAATAGTTTGTATCGATGTATTTAAAAGCGAAAAACTATTTTTAAAAACTAAAAATATATACTTGCAACACACAGATGGCCATAAATAAGTATATATCAGAAAGTTAAACAACAAACATCAGAAAGTTAAACAAACTACAACTGTTAAGAAAGCACTTTATATATAAGCTATATAATATATATAAATGTATACATATGTGATTACACAAAAGTAGCAATGGCAAGTGTTGAGAACGAAAAATTATTCATGCATGCACTCCTTATGCTAATTCATACCTAGAGAGATAAGGAGAGTGAAATGTAAAAAAGTTATAACAAGAAGTCACCATATCTGCGATATATTTCTTCCAAAACTCTCTCGTGCATATAAGTTAATCTTGTTTGAATCTGGTGAAGCATGTGAAGAAATAGATAAGTTTGTGGATGATATCAGAATAAACTTGGCGCCTGACGCGACCTCTCACCGGGCGTTTGCCACCACTGCCACACTTTTTGTTCTTCATTTTCTCTATTTTATATTCTCTTCAGTGAAATTTGTGACTGCAAGCCATTTGTGAAGGGCTTATATATAGGGGGAAATATCCAAAATTTTAGGTAGAAATTATTATAATTTTACTTATAAAAAATAAATAAATAAGTAGCGGGAAGGATACGGCAACTTTGATCGGCACCATCATAGCATATTGCTGCTACAATTTTGAACATGCATGCATTTAAGCAGGACTAGTTGTGTTGTTATCATTCTGTACATCATTCTGTACGTCACTGCTTGACCCTTATATTTGCATGCGTTGAAATTCTAATCAAGATTGTTAGAAGTTATCTATATATGCATCTCCTACGTACCCACATCCTATGAGATTATATATGTAATAGAATGACTAATACATGTTCCCCCAAATTGAAATACAACAAAAATAAAAATTTACTAGTCGTGAAAATTAGTTGATATTATTTAATTTTATTAAAAAAAAATCATGTTAAATTGTTTGTCTTTCATTCAAACTTATTAAGAATAAAACAAATAATAGAAATAGAATCACAAGTAAATTAAGGAAATTTTTTTAGATATGATATTGTAAATAAGATAAAAATAATAATTAAAATTTATTTATAATTTTAATTTATTCACTACGTATATATAACTTTTTTTTTCTTCCTTATATTTTAATTTGAAGAGAATATAAATTCATAACCATTAAGTCAGGTTAGTAATGATAGAAAGTTTGAATATTATATATTAATTCCTAAGTTTTAATTTTGTTGTCATATAAGAAAAAAGTATAAATTCATGTGAGCCTGTAATAAAAGAAAATAATTCATAAATACCTAACATCTAAATGAAACATATAAAGAAAGAAGTATAAATATAATACTTGATATATGTGATAAGGTTATAAATATATAAGTATTAATAGTATTCAATATTAGAGTAATCATATATCATTTCTCAAATAATTAGAGTACGAAAATATATGATAAGATAAAATATTCAAAAGTATTTTTATGAAAAAAAAAATTTGGAGTTGTCCAAATTATTTTAAGTAAAAATAGAGTTAAACAACTCTATTGTAAATGATCGGTGCAATCAATACTTGCAAATGATGCAATGAAATTATTCCTCTTGAAGTGTATAAGACAATTGTACAGTCATCTACTGGGAGTTAGATTTTTTCTTAGATAACTTAAGCAGCACCTGTTTTTTTTTACACAAAGGAAAGTAAGACAAAAGAAAAGGAAAGAAATAACAATCAGAAAAGACACCCCCCCCCCCAAACCAA